TTATCTCTTCGTCACAATAGTCCGTTTCCTTTCCGTTAATTGCTCCTCTTTTATTTTATCAACTTCGTTTCCCCACAGCTTTGAGACCTGACATTAGTCTACGCTGAACTGAGAGAACACAAAATTTCTCAAAGTGACGAAATAATTCAAAGGAAGTATATAGCTACTGAACCTAATGTTTTGCTTAGCTTAGCAAGATAGGGCAAATAGATGATTATATGGACATGAAAACACCGGTTCTTATGTTTTGCGACTGCCTTCAATGGAGCGTGAAATTGTTATTCCCGTTACTCGATTTCTTATTTGTGAAACCTATCAGCACCTCATGCTACTCTAATAAACAGTCGACACATTCAATTAATGAGCAACATGTTTGCAAGGAGTGTGAAAAAAAAACAGTATGTAGTCGGTGCACTTACGAGCTGGGTAAGGCAAACTTTCATGCAAGTTGCGTATAATGTTTGCTTTACATGTACTTCAAGTTATTGAATTGAAAGACTATCGTCAAACACTCTTCCTAGATAGAATTATAGGTTGTAATTTAAGAGAAAATGTTTAATAAAACGGAGGCCAGAAGAAAAATGACATCACTGCTGAGATTAAGTGCTTCCTATATGTGTTCTTAAGATATTTTATTACCTGAAAAAAAATAGTAATATTTTAGGACACATTGAAGAGTATCTTGCATTAAAAGGTTGTAAATTATATTCTAAGTCATAACTTAACATTGTTATCATTAAAAGTATACACTGATCAATTGTAGAGAAAATACTATAATACATCTTTTTTTCATTGCTGATAAATAGTACGGGAATTATTGCCTTTCCTACTTAAAACTTATGCAATCACATTACGAATAAAAAACAGAATGTCGGTAACAATTACATGATTCGTAATATTAAAATATTAATACAATTAAATTAGTGAAAATTTATACTAGTTATTATGGAATAAGTTGATGTACAATCTGGAGAAGAGGAAATTACTTCAAATAGAAGGTACAATAATAATAATATAATGCTAATGATTTGGTAGTTATAAAGTGACCTAAAATTAAATAAGTAAACAATAATTTACTTTGACACGAAAGTTACAGTATTCTATGTAATATAAAATGTATTTGTTATTTATAAAGCGATACACATTACAATACGTCTGTAAAGTTAGTGAGCACAAAATATGAATATAATTTAATTATATTATGAATATGTGATTGATCGACGATAAGCCGATATTGTTGTACTAGACAATGGCATAGAAAAAAAATGAAATAACCATTCACCATTAAACATAGTTTGAAGCTCTGACAAGCTCGTCAAGCAGCCCCGCCATCGGGCGCCATCTCCGCTTTAGCACAATGGATTCGTAAGCAGATGCAAATCTCGCTCCCGCTCGGGGCGCGTTCCGGGTCCTGCATCGCGCATCCCGCCCAAACATCTTCAGCTCCAGGGAGGTCTTCTCAAGGAAGCTGCATGCCTGTAACCAGTTCCGTTCCCTCGCCTCCCTCTATCTGCGCCCGGGGCCCGCGCCGCGTGTTTAATATGCGGCGCCGGCGGCGCGAACGGCGCAGGCACCGTCCCCGTGCGTGAGCAATGGCGTGCGTGCAGAGGTGCGTGAGTGCGAACTGCCGCCCTGCCGCGCCGCGCGGGCGACGCTGTTTGTCCTCCGAACGGTCCTCCCTCCCGGCCTCTCCATTTGCATAAACACACCGCGAGTGTTATTAAATTGTACGTAGCGAGCGACGCCGTGTTGGCTGCAATAATGAACTCCGCTTCCTCATATATATTTCCGACGTCTGGTTTTTCGGTACCGAACGCACGCACAGTAGTGGTGAGGTTTAAACCAATAGGGTATTAACATTTATATTCACGTACGTCGTGGTTTATGATTTAAAACGCGCTGTCTGGTATGCTGAAATTATAAGGGACAATATAATTACTGAAGAAAAACCTACAGGCCTATAACTCAAGTGTTCATTAGAATTCTCTTGTGTTGTGTGCGTGTTAGATACGGAGGTTTCGCAGCTTGTGGGTTTGCTATGGAGCGCCAACCGATTAGCAATTTGTTGTTCAAGAGGGGGTCGTTGCCGCGAGGGGGTTGAAGGCGTCCCGAATAGAGCCGGTTTCAGGCTAATGTCCTAAATATGCACTCCACAATGACGCTTACAGTTGCACATGTTACTTACAAACACGTCGTTGACCAGTACTGAATGCAAATTATAATGTTGATGAATTATTCTGGAAGTACACGAAAATTTCTGTTCTAGATGTGGGAACAGTTTTGTAATAATTGTTTTAAGAATGTGATAAAATATGTGGGAGAAAAAAATTAACTTTTATATTTAAAATCATTAACATTTAAAAAAATAAGTATTCACTTTTAAATTGTAGGAATTGTGTTTATTTAAACACAAAAGCATTATTTGTGAATTTTTTATCACTATTTGTAATATTAAAGAGGAAATACTCGAAATAACTTTATTTTACAATTATTTAAACTAGAAAAGCTTTAGAAAATACGGCTGTTTTATAAATTTTAAAGCACCCTGTGCAAACTGAATTAGTTCTACTTCCTCTGTAACTGCATGAGCCAGGAAAGAAATCGTTCGAAGAAAGATTTATTTGTGATGTTCACGAACTGAACAACCTCGATTTCTAGTTCATGGGCTATAAAAGCAGGTTCCATCAACATAAAAGGCCTACAGGCGTTATGCATCCTAGAACAAGCTTTGATGACGTACGCCAGAATAGAACCGGGATAAGCAGGAACATACAACCGTGCCCTGAATTACAAGTGTCCACTAAACTTTCGAGTCAATGAAGGCCACATATAAATCCCACAAACTATTACGAACTGCAAAACAAGACTTGTTCATTTAGTTCTATGTAGGCAGTCTCATGTGACTGTAAATCAGTGCAAAAAATATTACATTGTCAATAAAGGTAATGAACATTAATTAATATAACAATTGAAAAATTAAATATTTTGCCGAATAATTTTTAAATATATTTCATTTAATCCTTGGTTACAGTTTTTTACTGTTCGGTTTCAAAGAAGTCTTCACTCAAAAAGAGCATCTATATTTAGTCGTAAAATATTTCATTATTTTCTGGCATCAAGTTTTATTCACAGTGAATATTTTCAGTATTGACGAGGGTAAATATTTTTCAGTGTGGCATCACAAACATATTTATTGGAAACACATTAAAAATTCCGTTTATTTATTTTGATCCTAATGGCAATATGATTATAATGGCAAATAGGGTCCTCGTAAAGCATTGTCAATGTATAGGATACTACATACTCGTAACGCAGTAGAAATATGTTTTCTTGAGGCGCACGTTAAGATTTTCCTTTATTTGCGGCGCAGGAGTTGTTGATGGAGAATCCGCCGTCAATGGGAGGTTCCACTTTGCTAATCGCCGATATTGAAAGCAGCCGGCCCTGCGCGCGCGCGCCGAGTCGCGCGGGGGAGTGGGAGTGGGGAGCGTTCAAATTCCATGACGACGTCAGCGCGAGGGGCGTGGCTTGGCGCTTGGCTCCCGCCGGTTGGGGGCCGGGCCGCAATCGTCCTCCCGGCCTCTTCAACGCGTCCAGCGCGCCTGGGGCCCGGGAGGGGGGGGGGAGAGACGCGACGTATTACAATTTGGTGGAGGCCCTGTGCGTTCCGCGGACGGCCGTGAGCCGGGGGCTTCGGACCCCCTGGGGGGCCCGCGCGCCCATCCCCTCTCCGCGTTTACTACCTGCGACCCGGATCTTCGTCTTTTTTTGCGTAACCCCTTGACTTCATTTTTGTGACATTACTCGCGCTGCTTCGGGGGAAATTTTCTATTACGGTTAAGAGCGGTTGCTAAAGATGCGATTGGCAAAAATTGCTGACAGCAACGGGTATATGCTCGGCCAGTTATTTGTCATAGTTATTTGAACAAAAGAAAGGAAGAATATGAAAAAAAAACATTTAAACTTTTTCGCTTAGTTTATTGGAAATAAAACTTGTGGGTAGCGGATATAAGTACCACATAAACATTTTTAACACGAAAAGAATAGCATCGGGAAACTTTGCTGCCTTTTTTCAATAATCTTCTTACAAGATAACTTAGATTCAGATCGTTTATTTCTAGAATCACGGGCAGAAAATAGGGAACAGTTCTTCCTACTTCATATTCACTTCAATTTTTCATTTGCACCCGGCAAGACAATGGCCTTTTAAGGCGCCCGCGGGTGAAGAATCGTAACAAGACCAAATTACACACCGACAAGCTAGGCACTAAATTACGTGAGTAACCTAAGTAGCAGAGGTCGTAATGAGATATTCTTTAGGCTGAGAGGGAAGGCGCAAATTGCGCTCGCTAATCCCGCCCGATTGCAGCTGCCCCGCTCGCCCTCGCAGGACGGGAGCGGCCTCCGACACTGACCTAGGGCTGTGGACATCCGCGGCCCCGGGGCCGCGAAACGCGCGCGAGGTCTCGCGAAGGCCGAGCGCCGCCGGGCGACGGAATTTAGGTTTCCGCGGCTGATTCACGCCCGGGCGTTTGCGTCGTCGCGCACACCACGCGCAAAAAGCCGCCAGGCGCGGCCGCCGGGCCGTCGCCGTCTCGTCAGAATGTATTTCTTGCATCGGCCAGAAGCGGACAGTATTGCGATTCAAGTTTCTGGTTCTTTCCGCGGTGCGGAAGAGTGGGAACGGGCGGAGGAGGAGGGCCGGGCGCCAAGGGGAGGGAGGCGCTCAGGTGGGGGGTGGGGCCGGGATGCCTGCGGGGACCGAAGCAGGAACTAAGAGAGTGTGGTAGCGACCATTCAGGTCTGTTGTTTTGTTCGCGCCGACAGCGAGCGGCCTCACACATAACACAATCACACCGGCAGAACAGGCAGGCGGCGTGCGGACGTGACGCGGTCGGCGGCGGCGGCGGGCCCCCCTCCCCGACCGATGACGAGCTTCGCGCGCGCTTGTTGCAGGACGACTTCCTCCGCTGGCGCGCCCCTCTGCTGAAAAGCCACCAATGGGGCCGCGGGCGGGGCGGGCCTGGGAGCTCGTGGCGCTCCTCCCAACCGGCGGCCGAACTGCAAGGCCTGTCTTGCAGCAGACGCAGCAGCAGCAGTCGCTGGCACAGCACTCTGTCCACTTGTCGGGCGCACCGGCGCCGCCGCAGCCCCAACACGCGCAGCAGCCGCAAGCGGGCGGCCAACCCCAGCAGCAGGTGGTTGTGAAGCGCGAGCCCGAGGACCTGAGCCACCACCGCCACAAGGCGGGCACGGCGTCGCCGCCCATCATCCTCAACAAGGCTCAGCAGCAGCAGCAGCAGGCGCACGCGCTGTCGCGCCACCACAAGCTCGTGTTGGTGGCCAATGGGGCGGCCGGGCACCACCAGCAGGACCTGGTGGACGTGAAAGAGGAGACGCACCGCGGCCTGGGGAGCCCGCAGCACGGCTCCCGCTCCATCAACGGCACGCCGTCGTCCACGTCGTCCTTGCTGGCGACGGACGGCGGAAGCGTCCCCATCACGCCTGGAGCTCTATCGCGCCCGCGACACTCAAGAGTCTCCGGGCATCGGACCGGCGATCCCATGGGCCGGCGGCGCGGCGCGGCGGCGGACCAACACCACAGCGCCACCCCTCGCCCCATTCCCGTACTCGGAGCACGCGTGCGCGTCGTGCAGCTACTCGTCGGCCGGGCCTGACGTCGAGCGCGAGGCGCCGTGCGCGGTTACGTAGAGCGGCGGCGACGGACGGAGCGCCACGACTGCGCGCCACGTCGTCGGTGGCGGCGGCCGCGGCGCCCGCCGCCTTCGCCGTGTCGCCCGACGCCTACTACGGCGAGTACTTCACGACGGAGCGCGGGTACGCGCCCGTGCGCCAGCAGCAGCAGCAGATCCCGGCGTACGCGGAGAGCCCCGAGGGCCCGGGGGCCGGCGCCGGCGCGGCCGCCGCCTCGGGCAACGCCGCCTTCGTGGAGCGCTACGTGCGCCAAAACAGCGCCTTCAGCAAGAGCGCCGGGCTGGCGGGCGCCGCGGGCGGCGGCCTCTCCGTGGACCTGCCGTCGCCCGACAGCGGCATCGGCACCGAGTCCATCACCCCTCGCGACCAGGCCGCGCTGCAACAGGTAGGTGGGCGGCGCCCGGGAGAGTGACGATGTGTGCTTGTGGATGTGCTCCGTGCAGTGACAACCCCTCCGCTGAAAAGCTAAACGCCGTGGCTGGCAGGCGAACGTGTCCTTCGTGTCAAATTGCCCCGAAAATATTAAGTTCGTTGTCAACCAGTATTAGTGCGTGTCGTGCAGTGACAGTTCGTTCCGAAATTCTACGTTGTGCGAAGGCCTTACGAGAACGCATAAAAACTTATTTCGAATAGGAAAAAAAAAAAAGAAATTCACCTTTGATTTTTCTTCAAGTCTCGATAATTCAATCAAGTGAGAAACTTCCTTCTCCTGTTTTCGGTTCTTATTACCTTCTTTCTGCTTTGTATCTGTAAATGCTAGAAAATTAGGTAAGAATTCCTGTGATTTCGCGAAAAAAAGTTGTTAAGTGACCATTGCATAAAGTGCTAAATCGTCAAGCTATTTATTAAAGTATTAGTTATCTTCGGATGACGAAATTAAAAATTTGCAATTTTGCATATATATGCAATTATGAAAAAAACACGTTTTCGAAAAACTGTATTTTTCACTCAATGTATAAACTAGTTAGATTGATCCAGCGCACCGAAATAATTCATAAAAAATTCAAATTAAAATTATTCAGCATGTACCGCATGCGATTTCTAACACCCCACAAAATAATCTATCTTGCGTCTGAAAACATCTTCGCAACCCCAAAAAGCGAAGTTCGTGCGTCAATAGCCACTCCAACTCGCGGTGTTGCACGCTATAATTTACTACCAGCCGCCCGCTGCCTCGCGCAGCGGCGCGATCGGGAGCATAAAGATCGGCTGCGATACCGCGCATTACGAAAGCGTCTCGTAAACAAGTCAAAGTGTCTGAAACGGCGTTCTATTGAGACGGTCGACCGTTCCGGACAGTAATATATCGCTTCAACACCCGCGAGCATTTATATAATCTGCGCTGAAGAATATTCCATCGCGGTGTTTAAAGTATGGAAATCAGTGCGACAGGTGTTGCTTAAAGAACACGTCTGTTGGTCTTGTGGACTTTATTCAAAGAGCAGCGACAGAAAGATACACAATAGAGCAGAAGGGGCCCGCGTTGGCGCGCGGGAGTGCGTTGGAAGTTGTCCCTCCGAGGCAGAACTGGCTTGAGGGCGGTCAGGGATTGTGCGACGAACGTGTTCAGAAAGTTCATATGTGGATGCGTCGACGTGAGTTGAATGAAAAGCGTCTTCCAGCTATTTCTTAAATTCAGCTTACGGAAATTGCGGAAATGTTATGTCAAATGTATACTAAATGTTGCGTGAAGTACAATTTGACGGTGTGCTGAATAATATTTCGTTGTGCATAATAAAACGATAAAACATATTATAGCATATATTTTAAACCTCAAAATTGCAAATTATTTGGCACTTCAAAAAATTCGCCACTCACTTGAACATGTACGTTTATTTGTACGTTGGATTCGCAAAGACGAGTGATGACTTTTAATTTAGTGTGTCGTTCTTCACGTTTATCATAATTTTCTTCCCTTTCGTACATGTGACATTATATGCTTACGGTCGCGAGTTTATATATTTTATTTGTAGCTGATAAAAAAATCATGTTCGTATTCTGATGGATCAAACGCCATCTAGAACGTCCGATTTTTGAAGCAGTGTCAGAACGCGAGATGTTCCAAGGAGTGGGCAGGTGGGTGGGTCTTCACAAGGCTTGTCAGGCTCCATCTTAGCCAGCGTGGCGACTCGCCAAAATGACCACGCCATCACTGCGTTTGTCGTTCGTGCGTAGCATTGTCAACGGCGGGAAATTACACGGCTACCGCCGTCACCTAATGACACGCCACGGCGCGGAGTGGCACCCTGCAAGCACGTGGGGGCCGGGGAAGCCCCGCCACGCACGATCCGCGGACAATTGCCGCCCGAGGACGCGGGAGGGCGCGGCCGAGCGAGGACCGAGACGCAGAGAGGGCGCGCCGCCTGCGGTCGGGCTGTTTGTGGAGCTGCGGTGCGGTCCGAGGGGAAACCAAATACGTGTAATTCAGGCGACATACGTGCCAATTTCTGAGAAGGGGTTTGTAGAGGGAGAGATGTTTGTGTGTGTGTGTTGGTTTTTGTGTCGGCTAAAGTGGAGAAAATAAGAAAATGTAAGGGGTGTTGTTTTTTTTGGTTTTGTCTTTACTTCTTTGTTTCGGAGAGATGGACACAATCTGTCCTTACCCAAAAGAACAGTGAAGTCGCGGCAGATCGTAATAAAAATAGCGGAAGAAAAGTTAGATTATGGTCACACAGGTATTACAAGTAGTACTTACATCTAGCTGAAACGAAACACTTTAAACGAATCTCTTAATTTTGTCTTCTTTTTTTTTAATTTTCTGGTAGTAAAAGAAACTCATATTTACAATTTGCAACAAAAGTTCACAAGAATGTATCTGGCTGCGAATATAATGACGACTCCAATGACTTTTGTCATTTCGACGTAATCCCAAAGATTATTGCTGGCAAAAATATATTTTTAAATATTCCAAGAATTCAAAACGCTTAATAATCTTAATTTTCACGGGTCAAGGTATTTCGCAGAAAAAACGAACCCAAAAGGTCAAGAGCTATGCTGGAAATTTTACACAAAGACATTTCTGGGAGAGACTTTTCTATTCAATACGAGGAAATAAAACAACAACATGTTTGTTTTCGTTATTAGTCCGTTTGATGTAAATCGCCCGACCGCGTAAGTTTGCTGCCTGCTTTGAATTCGCCGCATCTCAGACCTTTCCCGTTTAAATGTTTCCCCTCCGATCGTAAGCACATCCCAAGCTAAATATAACATACACGTACTTCACCATCTGTTTACGTCTTTAGGAGTTTTGTGGATAATATAGTTATTCAAATTATCGTTCTCCGTGTTCTCAAGGCAGGAAGTCCTTCAAGATTCCAAACTCTGTAGCTGGTTTGCCTTCGCAAATAGTTTTTATTACACTGGAACGAATTTTTCTGATCAATTCTTGCCAAAAATATTTGTTTCGTCCGTATTCAGAATTCGACTAGTGTACGGGTTAGGATAGGGTTCCCAGAATTAAGAAAACGTGCTCAGAATAAAGTTCTCCCCTTAGGGCGCCACACGCAGTTTTAACTGTTTTGGAGGTTAAATAAATGAAAACAAATGGCCTCCACTCCCCCACGCAGAGCATGGCCCACGAAAAGCGCTATCTCCGGCGACCTTCCGCGGTTTTGGGGGGCGTCACACACCCACGCACTCCTCGCGTGTCGCAGATAGCACGCGCTCGCTCGCACGCTCGCACGCTCGCGGAAGCGCGTCGCGCGGTGATAGCCGCGGAGGCCGCAGTGGCCTCTTCGGACGCGCGGTGAAGTGTGGTGAGGATGTGTAACGCGCAACGCGCTACATTCGGGTAGCTTCGTTTTGCTTCAGACACTGAACAACTGACTGATGATGGGCCGCCAGTACACCGTAAGATTAAGACTTCATTTGACAGACGCAAGAAGTTGATGTTCGTTTTCAATTTAAGTTTTCCAACCGGATTGCTTGTTGTTTGAAAATAATGAAAAAACAACCTCAGGATAGAGAAGATTTTAAACAATGTTTTCGAGTTTCTCAAGAGTGATTTCAACCATAAATAAAAATATGTTGAGACGTTTTAATTCGAGATTTGTAGGAATTTTTAGGCCTATTTGTTCCTCAATATAGTAATATTGCATCTAAAACTATAACGATCTGGGAAGAATGGTTTAGTAGCAGTTCGGTTTATTGGTTTGTCTTTCAAACTTCCGCAAAGCCACGTCAATCTCAGTTCAGTGCCTCAGTCACAGGAATCGTAACTCGCGTGAACTCATGGACGAAAAAGAAAGACGACGAGCTCGGTTCAACGTTCTACCTTCGAATGTCGCGGGAGGTTGCGCGGTCCACGGACAGGTTCAGCACCACCCTCGTCTCAACCCTTCCGAGGTCGTCAGGTCTGCCCCCCCCCCCTCTCGGCTTTGCCAGCAGGCGGCGGCGGCGGCGGCGGCGGCGGTGGCAGAGGAGGCGCGGCTCCTACTCTGGTAGCAGCCGCCGCCGCCTCCGCCGCCACCAGCAGCTCGCTCCGCGTACGAGCTCGGCGTCGGCCCGGCATTAGCATGTGTATGGTACGCGCTGCCGTCATTGTACGAGTGCTGCAGCGGCACTTGCCGCTCGGGTTGTCGCGCGGAGGTGACAGTTCTTGATACGGCCACGACATGCGGGGCTGTTTGTAGGACGGAGAGGTTGTTTCTGTACCCAAGCTGGAATGATGTTTCCCTTTTTCATTAACTGTGTATACTATGTTTGTTGAATGGATGTGTAGTGTGTTGAATCACGTTGCAAAATCGTTCACTTTTTTACATGAACTATGTTTAAAATCAAAACAATTATAAACCTCCTATACAGCTCACAATTATTACACACTATTAAATTGTGGTGGGTTTCTTTAACATTTACTCACACAAATGTCTCTTAGTTGGAGAGAGAATTATTTAATGTATTTTCCCTGTAAATGTAGCTAATGAGTTTCTGTAAGTACGAATGTTAAGTCTCGTGTGCAGAATTAGCAAAATGTCTCCGACGTTTCGCACCTACGCTCATCAACAAGTGACCTTATTAGCAATCCAATAACTTCTCGGAACGACTTTTTTGCCACGTCACAATACCTTCGTATTAATTAGTCCTACATTCAAAGCGCTCTGTCAGTTCTTCGCCGATTACCTCTCGACCACACAGGGCGACTGAAACGAAATTAATAACGACGGCGCGGCGCGGCGCGTTGGGAGAGCACGTCACGTGATGAAGGCGGCTCATAAAGGCGCACGCGCGCCCTCCTCCCCCGCGGGCGCGAGCGTCAATGGAAGCGTGCGGGCGTGAGCGTGCGAGCGTGGCCGAGCCCTTCAGCCTCGCAGGCGCCGGGCAGCACCCCGGAACGCCTTCGGCGCCGCTGGGCCAAACGCGTGGCCGGCCGCTACAGCACACACACAC